GGTTTAGGGTTTAGGGCTCTTTGGGTGTAGGGTTTAGGGTTTAGGCTTCAGGGCCCTTGAGGGTTTAGGGTTTAGGGTTTAGGGTTTAGGGCCCTTGAGGGTAAAAGGTTCTTTGGGCTCTTCGGGGTTTAGGGCTCTATGAGGCTTCAGGGCCCTTGAGGGTTTAGGGTTCTTTGGGGCCCTTCAGGATTTAGGGCTCTATGAGGCTTCAGGGCCCTTGCGGGTTTTTAGGGTTCTTTGGGGCCCTTCAGGGTTTAGGGCTCTATGAGGCTTCAGGGCCCTTTAGGGTTGAGGGTTTAGAGTTCTTTGGGGCCCTTTAGGGTTTAGGGTTTAGGTTCTTTACGGCCCTTCAGGGTTTAGGGTTTGCGGGTCTGGTTTCGGTGTTTCGGGTCGACGGTTGGATGGGGCGTAAGTCTACCGTAACCTCCCAACACCTACGATATTTGGTAGGGTCACTATAAATCCCATGTTAGGGTTCATAAGCAGACCCTACAAAAATCGGTTCTGGTAGCTTGAGGCTTGAGGGTTTGGGTTAAGGTTTCAGGTTCTGAGCTGCCCATACCCGAGACAGGCCCAAAGCAAGAGTCTTCATTGCCCGGACCTACTTTTCAAGACTCAAGACCTTTATTTATTTCAAGTCTTCTCAACCCTACCCCAGCCCCCATAAATAGGTAGATATGTGGATAGGTAGTTAGAAAAGTAGATGGGTAGATGCGTAGGTGGATAGACAAAAAGAAGACTGACAACTCGATAGATCCAGAGGGTAGGTGGGTCGCTCGATTGCGAGGTAGGTAGGTAGGTAGGTAGGTAGGTAGGTAGGTAGGTAGGTAGGTAGGTAGGTAGGTAGGTAGGTAGGTAGGTAGGTAGGCAGGTAAGTAGTAGGAGAGGTTGAAAAGAAGAAAAGCCAAGGACAGGGTGCAGTCGATCGCCAATACTTCAAGGCGAGGCCTCGTCTTCTGGGTTCAGAACGACGACGGTGTAGGGCTGTAGTTTACCGCGTGCAGGCTGCAGATTCGCGGGGCACGTTTTTCGTTTCAGGCTTTCAGGGACTATCCTCTTGGGACTTTGGGAGTGTTGAGGGTTTGGGGCAAAATTGGACCTAGTGGGTTAAGCAGGTAAGGCATACTGTGCCAGGTGAAGTTGTGGTGTTTCCTCCTGCCAACACGAGCAACCGCACAGAGGACTTGGGAGTGGCCTGAAACACATGGCACAACATGGGAGTTTCAGAAAATTAGGGGTACCTTATTTTGGGGTACTCATAATAGGGATCCTATTATTTAGGGTACTATATTAGGGTCCCCTATTTTCAGAAACCCCCACATCAAGCTTTCATTCACATACTTACACCTACCTGTAGGCTCAGCAGGAAAACTTTCAAACAGGCACTCAGCGTGTGAACCTCAGCATTTCGAAGGTGGTGCGACTATGCTTTAATTTGTAGGGGTACAGAGACATGCAGACTGGCGTTTACATGTACGTATCCACATGCATACAGACATACACAGATGCAAGCATGCATGCAATACATGTCTGAACACTCTGTGCCCGGCAACAAACAAGGTTTGTTGTAACACGTAGCAAGCCTTCAGTACTGCATGGAAGAAGTCATAAGGGTTAGCTGGATGTTGGGATTTGTGAGCTTTGGGTTTGCAGTCTTACGGCAAAGTTGTTGATGTTCCGTTCTGTAGGAGTAGGATGTGGCTGGGCGCGAACTTAATACTCAAAGCTGGAGATCACCAGTCTTACTGTTGATGATATAAATCCTGCATTACCTTAAGGACCTTCAACTATGGGAATTATGGTATATTCCTTATTCTGGGTAATGCAGGATGTACGGCGGGACTTTTGAGCCAGGCCGTCTTCCCTGAGTGGCAGCGACAGAATCTGCAGGCTCCAGGTCCTCAATTTCCTTGGCTCCTGGCCTTCGAACAGGGCACTGTTTAGGGTTTAGGGTTTAGCTTAGGCGACCTGTGTGGATAGCTAGCTGACTAGGCAGGCTGCAGGGAGGTAGGTGGGTAGGTAGGGAGGAAGGCAATTTTGTTCGAAAGGATGTTTATTCATTGATTTTGCTATTTGTTGAGTTATTCATTTATTTACTTATGTACTTATTGAATTAATGATCTATGGACAGTTGGTTTGTTCGCTTGATTGATTGATTGATTGATTGATTGAGTGAGTGGTTATTGATGGATAAACGTATATGTATGTGTTTATATGTATATATATATATGATCATATGTATATATATATATATACACACACACGTCTAGACAGAGAGAAGGTATTTGTTGTTGCATCGGTCCAGGTGTTTATGCACTTACTTGCGAGCTTTCAAGCTTACCTGTTACATGTTCAAACTTGTTTGTCAGCGAAGTGGTCGATTGTGTCTGTATATTGTAGAAAGACGTATGACATCAGCTATGTAGGACAAGCTCGTCCTTTGTTTTCGTTAAAAACTTCTATCTTTTCGGGTTGGAGGCGAGCCTAAAGGCAAGCTCGTACACTGGGTTCGAGCATGGTAGAAAGAATCAGTATTGAAACGGCTGAAACCCTTGAACCCTAAACCCTAAATCCCAATCTGAAACCAAGTGCCTGGCCCTGAAGGGAAAGATCCTGTAGCCCCGAATCTGAGGTGCTGGGCAGAAGGTGGCCAGGAAGAGCTTTTGTGGGTGCCCTGCCCATCCCGAGATGACTTCACGGAGAAGTTCTGGCTTGTCAGCAGTTCGTCCCCAGGCGCGAGGGCCCATACTCTGCCCACAATGTTGGGGCCCAAATAATTACCTACATTATTTATTTGATGGTTCCTTATTTTAATTATAGTATAAATTAATTGGCCCCAAAACCCTATTCTAATTGTTCAGCCCCCTGTATCAAGCAAGCCGCGAATCAATTTGAACAAAACCTTTTACGTGAAGCATGAGAGGGGACGGCTTCCTATCGCACTGTTCTTTCATGCTGTTCGTTTCGCTGGCTGCTTAAACACTCTGTGCAACTGCAAGGGTGTCCGCTGCCCAAAGCCTGACGTGTGCTGCTGGAGCCTTTCAAGCCTTAAACCATCCTAAACCCTAAAGCCCTGACGTCTTCAGTCGAAGTCAGATCTGTTGAAGCAGGAGTGCTCGAACCGCCTGTCTGTTTGTGAGCCTGCGTGTCGCTAGCAGTGGGTGTTTCTTAATGGCTTTCGTTGACTGCTGCTGTGGTGCGTCATGTGTGTTTGAGGAAGTAGTTCGAGCAGATGTGGTCTTACGCCCTCATCCAACACGAAGTTTACTCCTCCTCCTCCTCCTCCTAGTCTGCTACTGCTGCTGCTGCTGCTGCTGCTGCTGCTGCTGCTGCTGCTGCTACTGATACTCCTACAGTTGCTACAGCTCCTACAACTCCTCCTCCTATTACTACGACCACCACGAGAGCAGCTGCTTTTGTCCCCTTTGCCCTAGACTTGGGAGCCGACACAGAAGCGGGGCCTGGCCTAGCCCTGGCACTCCGTAGCCTCAAACCACACATCTCTTCAAGGGACTAAAGCAGGGACCCTTGAAGGGACCCTTGGGGTTATATAGGGGCTTTATGAGACTATATAAGGGGTATATAAGGGTTTGTCATAGGCTATTCGGATGAGGGGTCCCTTCTAGGGGTCCCTCCTATGGTCCCTGAATCTCAGCAAGTACGATTCCTCAAACCCTAGACCCCTATACAAACCTAGTGTTGATGATATAAATCCTGCATTACCTTAAGGACCCTAAACTATGGGAATTATGGTATATACCTTATTGTGGGTAGTGCAGGAATTATATCATCAACCGTATCATGCTGATAGATGCCGTTGAGACCCTGCTTGGCTAGACCCTCATATCACCTAGCTAGACCACTTCTGCCACAGGTTCGGAGCTGTATACCTCTCAGCAGAGTGACGCCGAGAAAGCTTCGGAGAAGATCATGATGCCGGTGAACATCGGCAGGACCCGAGCCCTGCAATTGACTTCTTGAGTCCTAAACCCTTACCATAAGGGCCTAAATAATTACTAATACTA